TTTTTTTGTCAAGTATAATCGATAGTCAATGTCAACAACCGATGGCTATCGATTATAGTTGTATATTCGACAAAATTTTTTTCTATTGATTATAATTATTTTCGATCGTTATTTATATTACAATTTTGATTATCAAATATGTCTATCGATTATAACATAATTAAAAAAAATATTTTTATAATCAACAATATTTACTATGATTATACTCTGTTTTCTAGCAGTGAAAACAACTTCTACTAGTGGTTGATTCGGAGGAACGGGATCTCAAAACTCGGAGGAGAAGGTTGCTTTGTTAGGGGTTAGCTACTCTTTTTTCTTTTCTTTTTTTTCCTTTAGAAATTTTATGTAATTTCTTGGGAAGGTCTGATATGGTTGGTTATAGTATATTTGTAAAGTTTAAACAAAGTGGGCTAATTGCCTAACTAAAGGGAAATTTGTTTAATGGGTGTTTGGGAACATGATTTTGGTACAATATATTTGAATTTTTATTTCTCAAAATTAATATCATTGTTTGTTTTTGTGTAAATAAAATATAATTAAATTTAAGTGAAATAAATATATTTCATTCCGGCCATTTCAAAGAGTTAAAAAGCATGTATTTCAAATTCATCTTTAAACCCATGAATTTCAATTTCAAACTTTGCACTCTCTCTATAGGCCAACGGCGATGAAGCCTCCATCTTGACTTCCGTTCATCGTCGACTCTGTTGCTACTCTCTCACCTTCTTGTCTTCGGCCACCCAAACCACTCCACCATCTCGTGCATCTGCCCCTGAGTTTGGCAACGATCGATCATCAGAATCCTTTCTAGCCGCTGCCAATAGATCATCAACGGCGAGACTGGGGTCAAGGCAACGAGCTTTGGTGAGGAACTTGAGAGCATGAGCCTGATCCCTAGTGTCCAACGCGTTTTTGTCGATTTTCAAGCATTTCAAAGCATCATCTTTGTTCTCGTCCATGATTAAACAAGTAGCAACCAAAAAAATAGAAAACTAGGGAAAGAGGAAACAGAAGAATTTACTGCCAGAAATTAGACAGATCTCTGTAGCTTGTCAAGCCTAAAGATTGGAATTGAAACGCTAGAGCTCAGATCCCATCGACGCAATTGCTGCCAATCTAACTTTCTTGCTTTGATGGAGATGGCAATCAAATGGACAATCGGAAGGATCGGCACCGACCAAGAAAGCAAGAGGCTTTACAGAGGGAAAGGAAACCAGGAGTGGAGATGCCGAGTGAAATCGAACTTTTTTATTTTTTTGAACTCAGGAGAACTCATATATTAAGATCAATGCCACACGACATCTACATAAAAAAATTTTATCTAAACAATAGAAACAAATGCTAGAACACAAAACGCAACTGGAGATTAAAGTTAATAATAGATCAAGCTCAATAAAGATAAATAAAGAAAGACAGTGGAAATTCATACGAAAAACCTCTAAGGAGTTTAATTTACAAATTCCTTTGGTCAATCATTCCAAACAAACTGTCCTTCAATCTATTTTTGAAGATGAATTCGCTCTCCAGGATGCCGTGGCAGGGAGATCAAAGCAACCAACGACCAATGCCTAATACTTGCTTAATTGCTTTACTGTCTTGTTGGTCACCAAATCTGAGTAAACAAATAAGAAAACCAAAAAAATAGTAAAAATAAGAAAAGGACCATCGGAAGGGGTCACAAAAGGAATCGATAGACCACTCAAGGTGGTCAACGGACAGAGGAGCATGAAAGGCCAGCTCCACCTTGCTTGAGGAGCCGGCGGGCTTCCAAGCATCAAAAACTCGTGAAGCACGGCTTCCCAGCACTAAAAAAAAAACTGATGTTTGCGAAGGGTTTAGTCAGAATAAGCTGGAGAATTTTAGAGAGGAGAGAGAAGCTTAGTGAAATCGGAATTTTAGATGAAGAACATGACCATAGATGAAGTTTTCCGAAAAAATAAGTAGGAGGTCTTTTTTCTCTCGTCATACACAGCAACAGTAGAGGGAAATCCTTATACTCCACTACCAGGCTAAAACTCTGGTTTTGAAATAAAGTTTGAATTTTTAGTAAAATAAATACCCCTCTTTCTTTTTTCTTTTTTTTTTTTTAACATATTTGTAAGGGGTGGGTTTCGAACCCAACCCAAAAAAGAGAAAATGCATCGGGTGGCTATTGCCACTGGGCTGCAAGTGCCAGGTGCAATAAATACCCCTCTTTTGTTTTTGCATTGGTGGAATATTATATGACAAATCCATCCTTGTAGGTACTATTTTGTTTTTTTATTTTTTATAGGAAAAACTTTTCATGATAAATTTATTTTTTTTAGAAATTAAATATTATATGAAAATAAAAAAATAAACAAAAAATAAAAAACATGAAGATAAATTAATTAGTAAAAGTTATT